TTGCATGACTATAAAAGCCAGAAAACCTGAGTGCCTAAATAATACATGCTGCTAGTATGAAACAAATGTTTTTAACCTTTACAGCATTACACATGAGTTTAGTCACGCAGATGCTGTTGGACTCCAAAATAACTGACCGATTTATTCTTGTAACAGAGCATTTCATTTTGCATTTTGTTGTTTGTAAACACAGCCAGGGAAAGAATGAAGTGTGTTAAACAGTTGTTATAGGTTAAATCAAACAGAAAAATATTAAAGGTATGTGTAGAAATTGTAACGAGGTCAGCCAGGTGAAACTCGGAATATGAGTTCTCTGATTGGGGCTGTCTATCTGCTCCAATCAGAGAGCCCTGGCTGCCACATAAAATGTGGAGTGTCAGACATCCCATTCAGTCTGAGAGCTGGCTCTGAGGGAGCTGGACCGGTATCGATGACTTTCCATATGTAAATAAAGGGTGACTCAGTGATGGAAAACCGGCCTCTGTGGAGTTATTTTAGCATGTAAAATAATAAACAAGACAATAAAAAGAAATAGGACGCGTGCAATTGCAGAATTCAGTGTTTTATTCCATGCTGTACTTCTGTAATTTAGAGTTAAAATTATGTCAATAATTATAACAAAAGCATTGTAACAATGCCTATTAAAGTGCTATAGTGAGCCAAACAATTGATATGCATATTTCAATGATGGTTCCCTCTAAAACAGCAGGACCACCATAATTAGCATTATGCCTCCAGGTTGCTCAGCAAGGAAGAGAAGACAGGCAGGATGATGCATTGATCCTATTAAGGGAGAAAGGACCCTGGCCTCAGCAAGAAGAGCTCAACATGGAATTTTGAGGCTGCAGTGAGCTCTCCTAAGAACAGACAGAGGTGAGAAACCTCACCAACAGAGCAGGCATGGATGGAAATCGCAATGCAAGTCAGCAGCAGCAATGTGGTCCTTCCAGCCAGGATACAGTGCACCAAGAGGGTGGGGAAAATGAGTGACAAAGGAATTATAGGTGCCAAGCGCACACTGACTTTGCTGGCATTCTCCGAACAACACACTTTAAAGTTCGAGACAACAAGGTGCAGAGCTGGATGAACACAGCAGGCCAAGCAGCATCATAGGAGCAAAAAGGCTGACGTTTCGGGCCGAGACCCTTCTTCAGAAATGGGGGAGGGGAAGGGAGTTCTGAAATAAATAGGGAGAGAGGGGGAGGCGGATAGAAGATGGATAGAGGAGAAGATAGGTGGGGGAGAGGAAACAGACAGGTCGAAGAGGCAGGGATGGAGCCAGTAAAGGTGAGTGTAGGTGGGGAGGTAGGGAGGGGATAGGTCAGTCCAGGGAGGACGGACAGGTCAAGGGGGCGGGAGGAGGTTGGTAGGTAGGAGAAGGGGGTGCGGCTTGAGGTGGGAGAAGGGGATAGGTGGGAGGAAGAACAGGTTAGGGAGGCAGGGATGAGCTGGGCTGGTTTTGGGATGCGGTAGGGGGAGGGGAGATTTTGAAGCTTGTGAAATCCACATTGATACCATTGGGCTGCAGGGTTCCCAAGCGGAATATGAGTTGCTGTTCCTGCAACCTTCGGGTGGCATCGTTGTGGCACTGCAGGAGGCCCAGGATGGACATGTCGTCTGAGGAATGGGAGGGGGAGTTGAAATGGTTCGCGACTGGGAGGTGCAGTTGTTTATTGCGAACCGAGCATCGGTGTCCTGCAAAGTGGTCCCCGAGCCTCCGCTTGGTTTCCCCGATGTAGAGGAGGCCACAACGGGTTGGATCCGGAGGTTACGTGGAACAATCCCTCTTCTGTACCTACACTGGCCCTAAACCCCACCTCTTCCTCCGTTACATTGATGACTGTATCGGCGCCGCCTCGTGCTCCCACGAGGAGTTCATCCACTTCACCAACACCTTCCACCCCAACCTTAAGTTCACCTGGACCATCTCTAATACCTCTCTCTCCTTCCTGGACCTCTGTCTCCATCTCGGGCAACCACCTAGAAACCGATATCCATTTCAAGCCCACCAACTCCCACAGCTACCGAGAATACACCTCCTCCCACCCACCTTCCTGCAAAAATGCCATCCCCTATTCCCAATTCCTTCGCCTCTGCCGCATCTGCTCCCAGGATAAGGCATTCCACTCCCGTACATCTCAGATGTCCTCGTTTTTCAAGGACCGCAACTTCACCCCCTCAGTGGTTGAGAACGCCCTCAACCGTGTCTCCCACATTTCCCGCAACTCATCCCTCACACCCCCTACCCGCAATAACAACCCAAAAAAAATCCCCCTCGTCCTCACGTACCACCCCACCAACCTCCAGTATAATCCTCCGACACTTCCACCATCTGCAATCCGACCCCACCACCAAAGACATCTTTCCCTCCCCACCCTTATCCGCTTTCCAGAGCGACCGCTCTCTCCGTGACTCCCTTGTCCGCTCCACACTCCCCTCCAGCTCCACCACACCCGGCACTTGTCCCTGCAACCGCAGGAAGTGCTACACCTGCCCCCATACCTCCTCCCTCGCCCCCATACCTCCTCCCTCACCCCCATCCCAGGCCCCAAGAAGACTTTCCACATCAAGCAGATGTTCACCTGCACATCTGCCAATGTGGTATACTGCATTCGCTGTACCCGTTGTGGCCTCCTCTACATCGGGGAAACCAAGCAGAGGCTCGGGGACCGCTTTGCAGGACACCTACGCTCGGTTCGCAATAAACAACTGCACCTCCCAGTCGCGA